GGCCAATCCTATACTGCACTTTATAAAAAAATCTACAGGAATCTCCGGAGCTGGAGATCTTTTAAAGCACATGCTACAATCTGGCTTTGTTCTATGAGAAGCCATGGAAGAAAGGTTATGAGGTCCATCGAGGTAGTGCTATTCATGAAATGTCTGGAGAAACTGAAAAACTTTCACTACAAGTCCTACTTTTTTCACTAGCATTTAGATTCCAATATTTCCTACTTAAAAGAAATAACAAATGATACAGTAATCAACTTCAAGAAAAACATGAGGAGAGTCTGTATCTTGTAGGTCTAACACAGCCTTAGGAGGCAGGTATGATTATGGCCAAGGACATCCTCTAAGCAGCTTGAAGATCATTTGATTAAGTTGAACATGTGGAGCCTTACAAACTGATGAGTTGCTGGAGCTCTAAGTTGACCATAGTGGAAACAGGAAAGCAGTCACCTTTTATTTCAGTAGTCCCTTTTTCCTAAATTCAGGCTTCAGATCAATTTTGTCTATTATAACCACCTTTAAACTATTTTTGAACACAGATACTTTCATAGAACTGCCAGAACCTATCAAAGCTGGCAAGCTTAGAAGACCAAGAAACCCGAACTGGAGTTAAAATAATTTCAATAGTTACCAATTTATTTTTATAAAAAAAAAAATGGTAGCAATGTAGAATACAGCAATATTTTCTGGTTCCACACACGCAGGTTGTGAACATTCCAAGCAATGTGTACATTTTGGAAGGAGACTAGACAAGAGAATTGACCAAAATGTTACTGAACACGGGAAGATTCTTAAAAAAGGTTAAAAATTAGGTATCAATAGTGTCTTCTTAATATTGCTTTCATTACTGAAGACTGAAAAAACACTTGACTTTACAGATAGGGTTAAAAAAACAGAGGAGGAACAAAAAAAGAAAAATAGGCTGCTACAACACTGCCATACAGTAAAAAAAAAAAATTAAAATCATACTTCAATGTTTGCATACTTGATAGCAGCATTCTCCCACTGAACCATGTGAAACTACAGGAAGAAAACATCAAAGCAAAAGAAAAAAAGAAAAGAAAAAAAGGCAGTTATCCATCAGTATTCAAAAACCTAGAATGAAGTCACTAAGTAGATGAACACTTATTGAGAATAAATCAGTATCTACATACTTAGCCGTTTCCTATTCTGCTCCAATAGAAACGTGAAGTTGAGTGTCAGCTTTGCGTAGTTTATTTTTGGCCGATTTGAGTTTTTCCAGTTCATAGTTCATTGCATGCTTGGAATAGGGGGTAATTATAAATCCTTCTACACAAGGAACTTTTTAAGTAGACAGCTGAAAATAAAATGTACTACTTGTAAACACACAAAAAAATACAAGCTTTTTCTGTTTCAAGTGATCACTGGTTCCAGATGGATTATCTTCGGTATCTACCTCTTTCACCTCTGTCTCTGTCCCGGTCACAAATCCTCTCTCTCTCCCTTTCCCGATCACGACCTCGGTCACGTTCTCTGTCTCTTCTATTATCTCTAGGACGGTCTCGTTCCCGTTCTCGCTCCCTCTCCCGAGGCCTGCTTCTCCGACCGCTGACAACTGCTTGTGTGCGGCGAAGAAAGTCGTCTACTCTCATGTCGTAGTCATGCTGTGATGAAAGGACAGCTCTGTTTATTTTCTTTCCGAGGTTAAAGTCCCCTCCCTTCACTTATCCATAGGATTGGCCGTAACTCTTGGCAAAGCCCAGTATTTCAAAATAAAATAAAAATAAAAGCTTTACGTCCAGCATCCCTAAGAACAAGTTTTTTCTTTCATCTTCGGGGCATCACTGTGCCTGTGTTTCCACTGTGGAGGCTTTGGATGTCAGATACCAGCAAGAGCCTCAAAAGCTAAGCAGCCTTCAAAGCCAGCTAACGGAAATTATTTAACAATCTGCCCCTGGTCTGTGATGTGCCTGTGAAGTTATAACCTACTAACTTTTCTGCTGATAAAGAAATCTGCATGAGCACAACCAATGTCACAGGCATGTCCTTATTCAAACTGGGCTTCAGCGTGAAAAGTTTCAGAGCTCAACAGCTGGAAGACATTTTAAGCACAAATCTCAGTCTAAGAGCACAGTCTGAGAATTTTGCACTTCTACATCTCCTGGGAGAGAGAGGCTTCTCAAAGGTGCTAGAAGCATCTAGTCAATCTAAATAACTGATCTTTTAAAGGAAAACTAATACAGGTCTTAAACAGGCAGTTTATCCAAGTCAACAAATCTCAAGTTAGGCGACATCTGTACCCCAAATTCCTCTGGCCTGCAGACTCACCCCCCTCCTCTGTCTCTGTGGACACTTACTACTCGTTTGTCTCTGTATCTTGCTTCATGCGGAACGGGATGATGTCCTGAGTAGGGAGGGTGAGCTTGAGGTGGAGGTGCATGGTGCTGATAGTACGGGTGGTGTGGTGGCTGCTCCATACCAGGATATGGTGGCTACAAGAAAGTTAGAGGAAGTTTGCTGAGCAGTTCAGAAGAAAGGAATTCACACACAGCTGCATGATGAGAATTGAGAGCAGAGGTGACCTTCATTCAGATGGGAAAACACAACATATGATCACGGCTTCCTAACTCAATTACCTATTATTTTTCATGAATTTGGCATGCTTTAACTAATTCACCAATACCATCCCCAAACACATCTTCCTTCCCTATCTACCTAAAGTGATACTGTACATAAAACTTCTGCTATTTAAATGTGCTGTTCTGGGTTTTGTGTTTGTTTTTTTTTTTTGTTGCTGGTTTCCCTCTTTTTTTTTTTTTTAAAAATCTATGCATATGGAACATGAATTTTATCCAAACCAGCAAGCTCTCACAGAAACAAGTTGTGTCAGTGCCATTCCTTAAGAATGTATTCCTATTTGAAATGAAAAAAATTAACACAAATATTTGAGAAAAGGCTAGCAATCTTTTTTTTTTTTTTAAAGTAAGACTTCTTTTGGCTGTTCTCCTCCATTTCTTCAGTCAGAAAGGCCTTTCTGTCTCACATTACTGAAGTATCTTTGCTTGCATTGTTGTCACAAAGGAAGTAGGTGGATATGCTGGATTTTAGGATGACTACTTGGACAGCATCCAGAACGGGGAAGAGGGGAGAAAAAGAGCAGAGTTTAAAAAAGAAAAAAAAAGAAAAAAAAAAGAGAGACAAGGGAGGTTCTGGAGGCTTAGCTGTGCTTGAAAAAACATTTTCCTTCCAGTCTCACAACTTTGTTCACTTCCTGCAGTTATGACAAACCAGAGCTGTGTTTCAGCTGAGAAAAATGAGAAGCTGTAGTAGCATCTCTACATCCAGTGCTGCCTTCTGCTCATTCACAGTATACAGAAGAGCCAAAAGACTCATCACAGTTAAGACAAAACCAGACCTCTCAGGGCTACAATTATTAAATATAAACAAAACACCTAGTGATAACAACTATTCCTCCTGGCATGATGGCAAATTCACAGCTGTACAAGTGAACTATCAGTTAATTTCCATGCATGTAGCCACAGACAGGTGCACTCATATATATACACTCATCTATCTGGGAAAAAAGTGCATTTCAGTGGAGGCTGCAATACAGCAAGACTTATTTTGATTACTGTGCACAGTACATTCTACTTCCCTGCATTGACACAGCCACTGTGCATGCCAGCCCCTTCCATGAGTCCCTGCAGCAAGTCCATCTCTTTGATGCATTTGCTCTTTGAAAGAAAGCCAATTACTACAAATATTAGCAGAATACCAAGTTTTATCACACCCTCTTGCGTAGGATAAAGTAGTGTTCTGCTATTTCCTCAGAGCTTCCAGTTTCTTGTAGGTTCAAACCAAGCCAGA